GGGGGGGCTGAGTTACATTTGAAATATTTTGTTGTTCCTTCCGAAATGTATTTGTAAATAATTGACGAATACGAATATTGCTTGGGCTGTCGGGGTTTGGGCAGTAACACTATAGCACCAACCCACCTTCTAGATGGCATCGTTTTGTGCTTGGTTGTAAAGCTATGTTCAACTTTGGTTGTAAGGAAGCCCACATTCATTGAGCTGATTAGTCTCTCTCTCTCTTGCTGTGTTTGTGTGTGTGTCTCTCCCTTTGTGTATGTTTGTGTGTGTCTCTCTCTGTTTGTGTCTCTCTCAGTGTCTTTGTCTTTCTCTCCGTGTTTGTGTGTCTCCATGTGTGTAGTGTGTATATTTGTGTGTTTCTCTTAAATTCTCTCTGGGTTTTTTGTCTTTCTCTGCGTGTGTCTCTCTCTCTGGCCCTCTTCTCTGACTCTCTGTCTCCGCTCTCTCCTCTACCTGTCTCCCCTCTCTCCTTTCTCTGTATCACTCTCTGTCACCCTGTCTCCGTTTCATCCTCTCTGTCTTCGCTCTCTACTCTCTGTCTTCGCTCTCTACTCTCTGGCTCCGCTCTCTCCTTCCTCTCACTTTCCCCTCCATCTCTTTTCGTTTGTGCTTTGCTTGTAGACCTTTCAACGTGTGGCATTGGTTGTAAACCTGTCGCCGTATGCCCTTGGTTGTTAAAGCTGTTGCCGTGTGCCCTTGGTTGTTAAAGCTGTCGCCGAGTGCCCTTTGTTGTTAAAGCTGTCGCCGTGTGCCCTTGGTGGTTAAAACTGCCCACACGTGACCTTGGATGGAAAAGCTGACCATATTTGGCCTTGGTTGTGAAAGTTGTCCACTTTTTTTCTTCGTTCTAAAAGCTGTTCATGTGTGGCCTTGGTGGCAGGCGCTGTCCTTGCGTGGTCTTGGTGGAAAAAGCTGTCCATGTGTGGCCTTGGTAATAAGCTGTCTCAATGCTGTGTAGGTTGTAAAAGCTGTACACTTGTGTCAGTGTTCACCCCAGTGTCGGTGTTCACCCCTGTGTCAGTGTTCACCCCAGTGTCGGTGTTCACCTCTGTGTCAGTGTTCACCCCTGTGTCAGTGCTCATCTTTGTGTCATTATAATCTTCATTATGTAAGTTTCAACCCCCCCCCCCCCCCNAGGTAATCGTTGCAGCAGTGCAGAAAGCCGCGTGACTGCTATGTTTGTCGTCGTCTGCCCGATATCTCCACTACCACCACACCCCACAACGGCAACACCAAAAAAAAAAAAAAAAAAAAAAAACCCTGGAAACTAATTAAAGTTAATGCACATGTGACCACGTGGAATATTGTTTGTACTGTGTTCACATAATTAGGAGGTGCATGGTATATTGTTTGTACTGTGTTCACATAATTAGGAGGCTCGGTACGGTTCTCACATCTAGTAGTTACGTTTCACGCTGGTGCGGATGAGACTAAAAATAATACTTGTTAGGGGGCGGGGAGGAGACGTCAAGTTAAATGCTTAAAGTTTAAAGCTTATCATCTCTGTCATCTTAAGAATCCTTGGAAATGTTTGATGGTAACAGGAGGTGGCAGCGCCTTGATGCTTTCTGACAACCCCCTCCCCCCCCCCCCCTTCTCTTTTTTTTCTTCTTCTTCAAAACTTTGTAGCCGCCTCTTTTTTATGGTAGTGTTATATAAAAAAAACTGTTGGGGGGGGAAACGTGTGTATGGTCTGGTTAGTTAGAAAACATGAGAACCTTCAATTCTGGCGCACAGCTTCACGTTGTACCATATCGGTGGGATACAGTTTTACATGGTTAATCTTAACTCCCTGCGAACGTTACCTCTGGGATACAGCTTTACGTAGCTGGTCTCAGCACTTGGCCACCTCACAGATGCGCTGCGAATGGCTAGATTAGAGCATGAAATTACTGGTCAGCATCCACGATCATATTTGTACTCATTACATTAAGGGAAGGAGAAAAATGGGGCATCATGTAATGAATTGTTATGATTTGATCTTGTGCATTCGAAGTCAATTGTTTCCACCGGCCCCCACCCCCAAAAAAACTACTGTCCCACATTCACTCCGTTTTTCTTACTGTTAAATCCCGCGGTGTCATCCTCAATCTCCACAGGGCACCCCAACCCTCTTCATTTTCAAATATTTTCCGCCGTAAACACCTCGCCCCTTTTCCCCCACCCCCACCCCCCAAAGTATTGTCGTAAAATAAATAAATGTAAAAAGTAATTCAGTTAAGCTAACTTTCCTTCTTGAATTAACTTGCTACAAACAAACATAAATGCGCCAGTACAAATAATATGCAAACACAATCCACCACAAACACACCAACTGCTGCTAGCTGCTAATAAAAATGCAAATAAATTGTAAGCCTGTTTTTTTAAATTTTAATACCGATATTCATTTTTTATTTTTAAAAGCGGCAAAAGCTGGCTATGACAGGAAAGAACAGATGCCCGTGTCTTCCCGTGACCCTGGCACGGTCCCCCACACCTCCGGACAATGCCTTCAAACCCACCTGGTTAAGAACCCCTAATCTAAAGTATTCTAAGCCTGTTCTAGGGTTCTTTTCTTAGATTTTAGGTGACCATGCAGTTGAAAAACCATCGAGAAGATGACGGATACGTCGCCCAGACAAGAAAAATACTTTATAAAGAACAGGAAGAGATATTACAACCCCCCCCCTCCCCCCCCCCAACCCAAAAAATGAAGTTTTTTTTTCCCCCCATGCAAATGCAAGCATGGACAGTGGCGGAACAAGGAAATATGCCGAAGTGTAACAAAAGAGCTTGGTCATGATGGTACATGTGTTCAGTTGTCACCTTTCCTTAGACCTAACATCTTTGTTTATTCGTTAGGTTAGCATGCAACGTATCGTACTGCTGAAGAAAGTTGGGAGAGGGGGTGTGTCGCCAACTTGGAAGTAAAAAAAAACCTAGAAAGTGGGAGGGGGGAGAACTACCCAACCATCCATGATTTTATTTCCTGCTGCAAAACACCTAAATGATTTCCTGTGGTCCCTAGGTTTATTGTTTGTTAGCTTCCTGAGCTTACAGGGTGTCACGACTCCGAGAATAAATGAATCTGTCTTGCTATGTCTTCTATAAATCATGACAAAAAACAGACTCTATGTGTCTATATTGACATGCTGTTTTTAAAAGACACGATTACGTTGTCAAGACTCATATTCAGTTTCACGCGACACTTTTGTTTGATGGAAGATAACTAGTGGAAGGGAAGATAAATGAACCGAGATTATCTTCCATCCGAAAGCCATGAAATGGATAATTATTAGTTTGCACTTTTCGGTGCCGCGGCACGAATGGCTAAGGGGAGTTCCTTCCCGGTCACGAGGCGCTTTGACGCAATCCAGATTAATTAACGTCTATTGATTGGATGAATGGAATGTTATTTTTAGAAATCTTGACGTTGTCTTGCTGTTTATAATTTAACCAAATTACCCCATCCCTACTCCTAATGTTTGGCAGATCGGCAAATTTCATTGGAGAGTGTATCGGAGTAGTTTTCTTCAAATACCGACACATATCCCAGAGAATGGGCTGAGAATGATATTCTGCACCACTTTCTTATTTGATGGCTGGGGTTTGAAGTTTGGGATGCATTGCTGCATTGTGTGGTTTGGGATGCATTGTTGCAGTGTGTGGTTTGGGATCCATTGCTGCAGTGTGTGGTTTGGGATGCATTGCTGCAGTGTGTGGTTTGGGATGCATTGCTGCAGTGTGTGGTTTGGGATGCATTGCTGCAGTGTTTGGTTTGGGATGCATTGCTGCAGTGTGTTGTTTGGGATGCATTGCTGCAGTGTGTGGTTTGGGATGCATTGCTGCAGTGTTTGGTTCGGGATGTATTGTTGCAGTGTGTGGTTTGAGATGCATTGCTGCAGTGTTTGGTTTGGGATGCATTGCTGCAGTGTTTGGTTTGGGATGCATTGTTGCAGTGTGTGGTTGGGATGCATTGCTGCAGTGTTTGGTTTGGGATGCATTGCTGCAGTGTTTGGTTTGGGATGCATTGTTGCAGTGTGTGGTTTGGGATGCATTGCTGCAGTGTGTGGTTTGGGATGCATTGCTGCAGTGTTTGGTTTGGGATGCATTGCTGCAGTGTTTGGTTTGGGATGCATTGCTGCAGTGTGTGGTTTGGGATGCATACACATCTGGAAAAAGGACATTCTGACATCACCATCAAATAAATTTCTTGACTTCCATTCTGTACCAGATTTTATTAATTTTGTTGTGTTATCTGTTGTATGACAGGTTAAACAGGATCCAGGCTTTGATGCTAAGTTCCAAGTTCTGTGGTCTGCTTTGCATGAAATAAAAATGCATGTTAAAATAATTGCCAGCACAAACCATCTAGTTGTTACTTCTTTAATTAAAAAATTAATGTATGATTTTGTGTTATTGCAGATGAAGACCGAATTCAGCAGGCAGCAGATTCCAATAGTTCAAAGCAACCGTTTGTGCCATGTAAAGTGTGTGGAGACAAGGCATCGGGGTATCATTATGGGGTGACATCGTGTGAGGGGTGTAAGGTTGGTACAATGGATTTCACATGTTAATTGTAGACAGTGAAATGATATCACTTCTTATGTTCAATGAATTCTTGTCCCAATATTTACATTTTCATCTCCCCTCCAAAACAAAAAAAAAAACAAACAAAAACATCAAAGAAAAAAAATCAATATCTTTTATTTTCTGTAAACACTGTCACAAACTGGCCAGTTTTTATTTTGTGTCCTCAAAGTCATTGATTTATTTTGTAACAGCCGATTCTGTTGTTATCTTCATTCAGGGTTTTTTCCGACGCAGCATTCAAAAGCAAATAGAGTATCGTTGTCTGAGGGAGGGAAAGTGCATGGTGATACGACTCAATAGAAATAGGTGCCAGTATTGCCGCTTTAAGAAATGTCTGGCTGTCGGAATGTCCAGGGACTGTAAGTAGCGTGGTTTACATATGGAATGCTGCTTTTATCTAATATCATTTAAGTTAGATTTTGTGCAATGTGGGATGCTTTAGTATGAGACAGTATTTGCCCTACTAAATAATGAACTCTCTTTCTTTTGGAAAGCATGTTAATTAAATACAAAATTTAATTACCAACTCTATTTAAATTACATCATTTTGAGACACGATTAGTTCCAGATACTTTAATGACATACATTTTAATGACAGACTTTATAGTTACATTCCTTAAATTAATGATTTAATGACAGACTTTATAGTTACATTCCTTAAATTAATGAGACACAAACAATTGTGTCAATAAAACACTATATCTTAAGCTTAAAATAGGATTAGAAAGTATGAAAGTTTGAAAGTTTTGGCAAATGCCTTCATCACTACCACAAAAAACATTAATTTATTTATATAATTATAAATTAAATTTAAATAATAATATGTATAATCTCCATATACCTAAAAAATGAAAGAAAAGAATAAGAATGGGCACAAGCCTCTAACGAAAACAAAGATCAGAAGAGTGGAAAGAAATTGGGTGGAATAACAATATAAAAACGAAACAGGAAAAAAGACATTGCAGCTATTTAACTTATGAATTTGGTTTATACTGTATTGAGTCAACGTACCAAATCTTTTTATTAATTTTTTTCCCATATAAATTCTACCAATTTTTTTATTAATTTGTTTTCCATATAAATTCTATCAGGTGTAGTACTCCGGTACAATATACCAGTAACTGCAATGTCTTATATTCCATTATGGTCAGCACTATTGAAGTGTTTAGAAACAGGACAAAGGGCTTGTTTATTGATGTTGCACAGATGTTCTCTAAGCCTGTCCTCCCTAAATATGATTTTCCACATTTTTAATAATAAATTAATTACATCTCTTTGATAGCAGAAATTTTATTCGCAGTCATTTTAGGGACAGACATTTTAATTAGAGAAATTTTAATGACAGTCATTTTAATTTTAGTCTTTTTAATTACCCGGCATTTCATCATGGTTAGTTACTTCATACGTTATCAATCATGTGGTTTACTTCATCGAAATTCAAAAGAAATTAAGTTAAAAAGTCTACTTCATATTTATTACCAAACTGAACATAAGCATAGTATTTTCCTTACATATTAAAAGCCAATAAATTGTTCATCAAAATTCACACAAAATCTTATCTTTATTAAAAATTGTATGGTGTAATGTTGGTCCAGCAATTTTAACACCAGCTTTTATGCCCACCGTTGACAGCCGTACGGTACGGTAGGGTCCCCAAGAGGTCCAAGAGTCAGGAGGAGCAGAGCGTGACATCTAGCGATTCCAGCCAGGACCAGACAGCTCTGGAGAGCAAACAGCTGGCCATTTATGATGTCATTCTCAGCATATCTCAGGCCCACCATGCTCACTGTGCCATCACAGAGGACAAGATCAAGAACTTGGTGCGGCATCCCGCCACTCTTGTGAGTTTACCCTTCCATTTGTTTTGTGCTATTCCTAAGACGTGTAATTTAAACCCTTTGTCCGCTCTGTTTTTTATGTGTATTTCATCTGACTTAAATTCTGGTGCAAGGAAAGTAGAAGTTTTGTATAAACTTATAAATGCAATGGGTAAGGTATCAAATATTTTTAGGTGCCACAGAGAAAATATGATCAGTTAAAATGAAACGTGCTAAAGAAATAAGCTGCTACATTGGCACACTTGAGTAAAAATTGAACCCTCCGCTTAGTTTGTACATTTTTTTCATCTGTTGATGTAGACTGTAGTGTATTTTATCATCTGTTGATGTAAACTTTAGTGTATTTTATCATCTGTTGATGTAGACTGTAGTGTATTTTATCATCTGTTGATGTAGACTGTAGTGTATTTTATCATCTGTTGATGTAGACTGTTGTGTATTTTATCATCTGTTGATGTAGACTATACTTATTTTATCATCTGTTGATATAGACTGTATTTATTTTATCATCTGTTGATGGAGAATGTAGTGTGTTTTATCAAATTCACTCAAGTGGATAGTTTATTTTCCCAGTGAAAAAAGTGGAGCGTAGCTATTGTTAAGTTAGCTTGCATTACCAAAAGGGAATTTTGAAATCAAATTATCTTCATTAGTCTGGGCCAGTGGTCGGCAAATCGTGGCTCGCAAGCTTCATGTGGCTCTTTAACGACCTGCGTGTGGCTCTGCCAGTCTGCCACAAATCGGTTTTGACTCTGAAACACATGGTTCTTGGCAAGAAATTTGGCTCTCAAAAAATGTTTAATCATCCTGCTGCTGATTTTTGTCTCTTTTGACTAATGAATTTGCCGACCACTGGTCTGGGCAATTACAGAGAAATTATATTTTAAAAAATGATTTGAAATGGTCTGAAATATTATATAGTTAGCTTCAATGCTCCTGTCCTCATTAAAGCTCGTCTACTTCCAATGTAAGAAAAGACTGAAAACCTGGACTTAGCTCTGTACACATCATCATCAAAGCATTTTGGCACAAATCCATATAATCTCCATTACGCTGTGCTGTTGCCAAGTGCATAGTTTAAGCAGAACATTGTAAAGTGTTCCCCAGACTGAACAGATTATTAATTCTTTCCATGTTTACTATTCCAGCGCATGATTTAAATGACTTACAGCTGAGTTTATTTTGACATTTTTTTACTCTGCCCAGTTCTTCCATGTTCTTGAGTGTTAAAAACCGAGGAATTATTGCCAGATAAAATCCACATTCTTGGACAAAAATAATGAAATTGACATTCACCTCAATAATAATCATCTGTTGATGTAGACTGTAGTGTATTATATGATCTGTTTATTTATATTTATTTAACCCCCCAAACAAAAAAAACAAAACAATTCCAGATATCCAACTGCATGTTTCATAACATCAAACTGTATAATTATATCTGCAGATGACAAAAATTCACATACCTACAGGGCATCTTCAGTTTACCAATGAAGAAATTGAAATGCAAAGGTTACTCATGTGGCAGCAGCTAGCAGCACTGGTCACTCCATCTATACACAGTGTTGTGGAGTTTTCCAAAAGGGTACCTAGTAAGTTCATCAGATGTTGCTATTCCTTCATGAAATATTGGATGTTAATTTCAGCATTCCTACCTAAAACATTGGATGAAATTGCAATATTCTTACCTGAATTATTGAATGAAATTTCAATATTCCTTCCTGAATTATTGGATGTGATTTCAACATTCCTACCTGAAGTATCGGTGTAATTTCAACATTCATTCCTGAAGTATTAGTGTAACTTCAGCACCAATATTTGGGTCCCAGGGCTTTGAAGTAAAAAAAACACATTTTTCTTCTCATTGTCTATGTTCCAGATTTCCCCGATTTATCTCAAGACGACCAGCTGATTCTCATCAAGACCGGTTTTTTTGAGATCTGGTTGACTCGAATGGCACGGATGATCAGCAAGGAAGAGAACATTGTCGTGTTTGAGGATGGCAGCTGTATATCAAGACAGGAGCTGGCCGTTGTCTACTCTGTATGTAACTGTGTGATTACATGTCATAGCGTTTGTTTTATGTTGATACAAAATTCTATGTAGCTAGTCATGCCTCATGGCAACAGCAGCTACCTGAGTGTACTTGAAAGGCCAGAAGCATATTTTATTTCATCAAATGAAAACTTACGACAAAACATTTTATAAAGCATTGAGTGTGAACAGTAGTTATGATATGCATGTAGTAACAGGAAAAAATGGAATGCTAAGGTACCAGGTGGTGTTTTTAAATTAGTTTTATTAAAGCATGTCTCTAGTTGAGAGGCCAGTTTCAAAAAAGAGATGGCTAGAATGGGGATTTGAAACCCACCACATTCATATTCATTCATATTATTATTATTATTATCAAGGCGTGACTTGAGCTGTATTTTATTTAAAGAGAGGGAGAGTTGTACAATTAGTCAGCCTCGCTCTCTTGTCCTTGCCTAATGCAAGATGACTGGCAATAGAACAGGTTGCAGTAGGTGACCAGCAGTGTTTCTTGTATTTCACTGTGCTCTTTATGCGATCCACAATAAACCGAGTTGGAATCCATTATGTCATGGTCATACCGCCTTTGGGAGACCATCTCTGGGTTTGATTTCGGAGTCTGCTGGGGTGCTGGTGTTTTTTTTGTTTGTCTAGGTTTTTCTGGGGATTAAACTCCAGTCCCCAAACTTGGGATTGACTCAATTTAGACCACTCTGCCACCCAGCACCCGCTACATTCATACTATAGGCAAGACACCCTAACTAACGGCTGACCAGCCCGTACAACTGCCAGCTATATTTATACATTCAAAGTGAAAGATAATAATAATAATAATAAAGTTTATTTGAAAATCACGCTTCATCCCCAAAGGCTCGAAACGCAGTACAAAGTCATCCATATTAAAAGAGAAATGAAATATAAAACGCAAAATTACAAAAACTACATACGAGAATACCCATTCTAAATCTTTCATCCCTGGCGACCCTAAACAACACAGGCCACTATACATCTAGGAGATAATAGCTAGCTGGAAAAGATGGTAGACAACATCACCCCAACAGGTGTTTGTGAAATAGATATGTTTTCGAATCAGTTTTGAAAGACTCCAGTGTCTGGCTATTTCTGAGAGCAACAGGAAGTGTGTTCCAAATTGTTGGGCCAGCAAATGCGAACATGCGCCTTCCATAAGTCTCAAGGCGAACACGTAGTATCGAAAGTTTGCCACTATTGGATGAGCGGAGTTGTCTAGTTGGTACATAATGCGCCATGAGCGCTTTGAGATAGGACAGCGCCAGGTCATTCAAGCAGCGGTAGCACAAAGTTGCAATTTTGTACTCTTATGCGACGGCGGACGGCAGCCAGTGCAACTCTCTCAGAAGTGTTTTAGCATGGTGAAATTTGCACTTGCGATAAAGAATGCCGCATTATTCTGTACTTTTAAAATTTTATCCAGGATTGTAGCTGGAAGACCCACCATGAGAGCATTGCAGTAGTCCATTCATGATAGCACGAATGCAGACATCAGCCTCTTTGTTGCATCAAACGTTAAGAAAGGGCTGATATCACTAAATCTGTGCAGCTCTAGAAAAATCGCCTTGCAAATAATGTTATTGTGATTTTCCAAAGATAGTGTTCTGTCTAAGTAGACACCCAGATTTTGCACTGTTTAAGCAAATTCAATCTGTATACCTGAGAGAGAAAGGGGTAGTGTGTTATTTACAGATTTTAGCTTTTAAGCGGTAGCAATGGGGATCAGCTCGGTCTTTTCATCGTTCAATTTGAGCTTATTAATGTTCATCCAGTGCTTAACTGACTCCACTGTCTTCTGTGTCATACTAAGAAGCTGAGGGAACTGAGAGGGGATCACGGACTGCTGAAGTTTGGTATCATCCGCGAACATGTGATAGAGCATATCAAACTGCTTGATCACTGCACCCAAGGGCTGAACATACATAGTGAAAAGCACTGGACCTAGGACCGAACCCTGGGGTACTCCGAATTCGATCATACATTGCTTCGAGGTCAAGTCGTTTGCAATAACTGATTGGACCCGATTTGTCAGATACAAGCGGAACCATCTCAGGATGGTATCGGTGAAACCGAACGTTTTTTGCAGACGTTGGAGAAGTATCCCAAAGTCAAGCGTATCAAGTAACAGCAAAAGGGATACCCTGCCCTCACCACAAGATGACAGAAGGTCATTTACGATGCGCAACAGGGCTGTCTCAGTAGGGTGATGCGCCCTGTATGCTGACTGGAAAGGCTCAAATAAGTCACACTGAGTGAGGTGTTTCAGCAGCTGGCAGAGAACGACTTTCTCTAAAATTTTGGAAACAAAAGGTAGATTTGAGATTGGGCGATAATTTTCCAACCCATTGGGGTCCAGATTTGCTTTCTTTAGCAGTGGAGTTACAACCGCCTCTTTAAAAGAGGATGGAACAATACCTGTTTTCAAGGACTGATTTATGATGCTCAACCAGAAACACAAGGCTCATGTCAGGTGGATTTTGTTTAAAAGGCAATGGGGAGGAGGAGAATGTTGACAACAGCGTGTCCCATAGAAATGTTAAAAACAGTTTTCCAACTTTTTATTTCTCAGTATTTTATCTGTAGCCATCCAGGCTTTTCCCTCTTATTTTACTGTGTGTATAATTAAACTCATGCTTTTTTGAACAGCCTGACTTTGTCACCTCTATGTTTGAAGTGGCCAATGGGTTTAACCTGCTGAACCTCAACGACACAGAAATCGGTCTGTTCACTGGCATCGTGCTGGCAACATCAGGTGAGGTATTTAAACCAGACTGCACATTGACTATGGAATCAAATTTAAAACATTCATCAACAATAAATAGGGATACATTTTTTTTTTTAATTAAAAAATTAAATTACATTTGGTTTGAATTAGAGATATTTTATCTAAATGATGGATAGACAAGTTGACATAGAGCTTTCACTTTAAGAAATCAATTTAAGTGATTCCTGGAGTTCCCTCCCAGAACTGAAAGGTTGGAGGTCAATGGTTTGAGCCAATAAAACATTTTAATAATCTGTTAAAATTTGTGTAGCTTTCAACTAAAAAAGTGTAAACCTTCCTCTACTCAACTATTTAATTCTAACTTAAAAAAAAATAACAGATCGCCAAGGACTCTTAGACACTCAGTCGGTGGAGCGTATCCAGGACCGGCTAGTGGAAGCATTAAAGCTTCAGGTCAGTCGTAACCACTCCACGGAGGAGAATCTGTTTGCTTCTATCATCATGAAACTGCCAGAGCTGCGAACCCTGGGATCCCAGCACAACGATCTGCTCCGCTGGTACCGTGGGCAGTGGCATCGCGGCAGCCTCCCCCCTCTGTTTGCTGAAATCTACGATATTCCTAAAAATCAGGATTCGTAGAAATGCCTGAAAGATCCTTGGTTGGGGCCAGTGTGAGAGAAACAAGCAGGGAGAGCAAAGTCTTGGAAGCTGCAAACCAGATCAAATATTAATAATTATATCGGTTACATAAGTGTAGAATATTCCTTTATTCATTGACTTGGAAGAATTTTTAAGAAGCAACAAAAAAAACATTTTGGCTACGTATTTGTCATTGTTTTGCTTTGATTCTGCTTATGCCTGGCTTATTCTGGCAGCTAGAATACTCTTTAATCAACTTGGTTTTCATCCATCATGTAATAAGTCATGCCATTAGTGTTTAGTGTTTTTCCAAGCCAAAAAGAAAATTACTAAATCAATTTGTGAGGTGAACAAAAATAGTGGCCTGGTATTTTGTTTAGGATTGGAGGGTTTTCTGGCCAGAAAGTATTCGTTTAAGAATGAAGTTCAAATTTTTCTAAATGTTGTGTTTGCAAGAATACAATTGTTAGTTTTTCTTTCAGGGGGGCAAATACTGAATGGCCAAACAAGACTGGTGTTTCCAAAAAAAAAAAAAATATTTGCCTTTATTTTTGTTACTACAAGAGCTGTGAGGTCAGAGACAAATCTGACCAAATATATTTTGCTTTACACATGATATTATGACAAGAATCAGGGACAGGCTTCTCAAGTAAAGGTTTATTTGCTCTGTGAGCTTTTAACAGAGTTGCCTACAAATATATATTTTTTTCCCATTGTGGACTTATTTATTTTAGGAGTAGGTTTATAAATAATGCTTCATGTGACCAAGTTAAGAAAGAAAATATCTGCATTAAGTTTTGATTGGATTTGCATTTAAATTTGATGATACAAAATCACTGGTTGTAGAAACATTTTTTTTTTTAACACATATATATATATATATATATATAAAAAAAAAAAAAAAATGTCAAAAAAAAAAAAGATTTGAAAACAACTTAACAATTAAAAAATCCATAAAATAAGCTTATGTTAAAGTTTTTACAAAGTATAATGGTTTCAAAGGACAAGCAACAAGGTGGTATTGACTAAGGGAAGGGTAATGAGACTTACATTTATATACAGGTTCTGTACATTTATTATGGTTCTGCAAATTTGTCATGTTTTACTTGCAAAAATATGTGGTGAAGCCTTCGGAGACCAGATTTGTTAATTACTTCAAAGCTGAACATCTAATCATCATGATCTAGTATTCTGTTTATCAACAGAGAAAATGGGGTCAGGATTGGGGTGGGTGGGCTTGTCATAGGCTAAAATGTGAACAGATTTATCAAATGATATTTAATCTACTTTTATCATGCCATAATTAGCAACATTCATTCAGGCCATTCACAGACCTGTCCCATTAATAGACTTATTCCATTGAGTCGGTCCATTTATAAATCTATCCTATTGATAGACTTATTCCCACTGGCTCAGTCAATTCATAGACCTATCCCATTGGCTCAGTCAATTCATAGACTTATTCCATTGGCTCAGTCAATTCATAGACCTATCCCATATGCTTTTCCACATTGCACCAAAAAGTTCATTTATAAAGTTTGTGGAGAACTATTCTCAGAACTGTCTCAGGGAACTGCAGCATTTCTGTGTTTTTGTGGATCTGATGCTGCCTGATTGTCCTATTTATTTTTTCTCTTGCCACCCACTAGTATAATGCTATGTGAAAACTTTTTTTTTTTTTAATTAAATTTTTGAAAGTAGCCTGTCAACTTTATCTCTCTCTATCAACATTAGTCATTTGGGAGCAACCAACATGTCTTTGTTAGACTGATTTCAAATGTTAACCAAGTATTCTTTTTTTTGTGTTAAAATCATAGAGTTTTTGGAGAGTTTCCCGAATGGTTTGCTTTCATTGTCCTTGTTTAATGTCCGATTTATCATGGATTTCTGTACTTCACTTGTGAGAATTTTTCACCCAAGTAGTATTTGGTATTTTGTTGCTATTATAAACATCGTACATTCGTTGTCACCCACAGCTGGTTTAATATTCATTAACACATGTGGCATTGAGTACGATAGTGTGTTAATGCAGATTAACATTTGATTTCATAAAGGAAGTTTTTTTAATGGGGTGTAAAGCTTGAGAAATGCACTTTAAAAAACTTTATAAACACATTACCTCATCTTTTTTTCCCTCATAAAGTGGCTTTGCATTGATGTGTCTTGCATAATGAAATAATAGACTGTTTGAGAAGAGCAAACATTTCTTTAAATTGATTGACAATAGCAGTTATTTTTTGTAGTTATTTTAAAACATTCTTTGCAGCTGGGAGTCTCTGCTTGAATGGTATTAGCTATGTAATGATTTACAGAGCTGATCCATAGATGGCAAGGCAAGGTTTGTTCATTTCCTCTCAGCTCTGCTAGAAACTTTCTCCATGCTAGTCTGCCTCCTGGCTATTCATATGTATGTGAACTGATCAATCCTCTTGCTGTGATGATCTCCCTTTGAAGTAGGAACTGGAGTAATGTAGGGGGTAAAATTAATTTCCACTGTATGATTTGAATACTGCTGTCCCTATGAAATGAGGGTGTCTGCTGGTCTTTACTGTAATAAGGTCACATCAAAACAGTTGACAGATGTAATGAATGACTAGGTTCTTTCTGGTGGTCTCTCTGAGCTATATTTCTTCAACCATTGCCATAGGAAAAATGTATACAAAGTGCTGTTGTCTTTAAGAGACAAACAATTATGTTTGAATTTCTTTTAACGTTTGTTCAGTGTTCAAGCATCAATAACAATAGTGTACTCATGATCCTATCACAATTTGATGGGTCAAGTTTCAATTAATTCATTTTTTTTTTAGGTTAAAGAAGATCAGTTATCAAGTGAGATCTTGTGGTTTTTACTCTTGATTGGAGCAAAGTGTCTGGGGAATAAAAAAATGCCATTATTTGTAGCTAGGGAATTTGATGGATCATTGTTATTTCAAATATCTTGTATTAAATTGATGTGTGTTTCATTAACAATGTAATTTAAAAAAAAAACAATTCCATTTATTAGAATCAATAAAGAATCTTATCTTAACAAGACTGTAAGGTTGGGGGGGGGAGGGGGGAGAGGGGAGATAAATGGACATGTCAAGGTCAGGGTGCATTCTAACCAGGCCCTAATATGGGGGAACTGGGTGTCTCAGAATAATAAAAGACCTTTCACTTTGTTATTTCCCCCACTGAGCATAACTTTTTAAACACACTACATTTGAAAATGTCATGATGAAAAATGTTGCATTTTGAAATGTCTGTATGTACAGGCCAATGAGTTTTTAAGCAAATGCTCTCCCGATGCAGCAACCATCCAATATATCTGTAATCATGAAACCAAAGATATTTATTGCTTTGTATTTTATGTACTGTTTATTTTTTAAATAGTCATCAAGTAACATTTTGTTTAATGTTATTTCCAAGAAGGTGGTCCTGTATCTTAACAAATACAAAGTAAATAATAAAACGATACTTTTTTTATTTTGGCAACTAATACATATATATGTATATTTATATATATATATTTATATATATATTTATATATTTATAAATATATACAAATATACTTGGTTGAAATATTGTTTTGAAAATTGAAATATATATATATATACACAGAGAGAAAGAGAGAGAGATTATAGTTTTGGTTATTATAACTAAATGTTTTCTCACATTCAAATGTTTCTCTTCTCACACACTGTAGCAGCCTCCTTTACGTTTTGCTACCAAAGTTCTAAGTTATAGTGAAAATTTTCTTTTAGATTCATCCAGGACTTTCAGTTTTATCGCTTGGTTTAATATTTTATTTTCACAATCAACTGTAAAAATTTTGTCTTTTTTCAATGTTTGCACACATTTGTGGATGAAAAACAATTTAAAAAAAAAACCTTAATTGGAGAAAAGTGTACACCAGCGTAACTCTTCCCTTACTGTTGGCCAGGATGTTGGTGTACATCAGCGTAACTCTTCCCCTACTGTTGGCCAGGATGTTGGTGTACACCAGCGTAACTCTTCCCCTACTGTTGGCCAGGATGTTGGTGTACATCAGCGTAACTCTTCCCCTACTGTTGGCCAGGATAGTGGTTGTTTAAAGGGGTTCTATTGAAGTGGAAACATTTGTAGCCATTCTCTGTCCAAATAATGTGAACTAAATAACACTTCAGATTTTATTTTCAACTTTTAATTCAATTTAGATTTCATTTCTTTTTTTTTTCAACTCTTGTTTCAACTCAGGTTGTTTTTTTGGTTTTTTTTTTTTTGTGTGTGTGTATGATTGTTTTTATAATTTTAAATATATTTTTTTTTTTTTTTTTTTCCTGAACATAAAAAAATAGTTCAACATTTTCTTTTTCATTTTTAACTAAAAATTAATTTGATTTTTTTTTAAAAAATAAAAAATTTTTTGTTTTTCTTTTTTTTTTTTTTCTTCTTTTTTTTTTTCTTTTTTTTTTTTTTTTGTTTTTTTTTTTTGTGTGTGTTTATTATTGTTTTTATTATTATATATATATATTTTTTTTTTTCATGTGCCTGAACATAGACAAAGAGTTCAACATTTTCTTAGTCATTTTTAACTAGAAACTAATTGGATTTTGTTTTAACAAATAAAAAATGGAAACTGTTTTGCAAAAAAAGTATATAGTTTGATTGATCTATTTGCAATTTGAGCCACATTTTTTTCAAGAGGGCTGCTATGACTCGTATCAAATCTTTTATTTCACAATGTCCACATTTAAGTCATGATGTAAATGAATGTATCATTTAAAAAAAAAAAAATACTTGGATTATAAGGTAGCTATTAACATGCATAATCATGAGTAATTTTTTTTCTTGTACTCTAATTTTGCTGACTTGGGATGTAAAAATTGGGAGATGGATTATTTTTTCAATTTGTATGGATTATTTTTTCAATTTGTATGTGTTGTTGTTTGGTCTAGTCTGGCTGTATTATTTTTGGTATTATTTGCTAACTAGTCGTGGATGATGCCATGTCATTCCATGCTAGGAACAATTAATTGCTGTATTTAATTTTGAGTCCAAGTGACTTCTCAGGGTTGGTATCTATGATGAAATGCATTGCTCTGAAGAGGCATACTTAAGTTATTTGTGCATTACAATATATCCAAAGGATATTTTTCTAGTTCATTTTGTATGTTTACTTTTACAATGGGGAGTTAATCTTAATGATAATCTCCCTTTATTTATCTTTGTTTAGCTAGCAGACCAGTTTACCCTCAAACTCTTAAAATCGTACATTATCATCGCAAAATCGTTCAATACATTATCTAAAAAGTACTGTATCTAACATACAGTATATATAATGTATACACCTCAAAATCATACATTTCTACGCCAAAATCGTGAGAGTAAACAGGTCTGAGCTAGCTTTGAATTTTGAATAATTTTTAAAAAAAATGAAAAAGTGCAATCTAAAAATTGAACATAATGTGGACGGCACATTCCTTCTTTACCAAATTCACCTCTATCATTTACAGGTAAGTTATATGTGAGTTAATTCACTTATCAGACCTATATGTATGGTAAAAGTAAAATGTTAGGTGGTTGCTTCGCCTAAAGGAATTACCTCTATGGAAAACAGCTATGT